CTCAAGTTAGAAACTATAGAAATGATCCCTGAAAGTATAGTCTTAACTTTACTAGTGCTTGCAATCAGAAGGTGGTTCCCAGCACAACGTGTCTCGATTAGGATGCGTTGATTTTACTAAACAGCTTCACACTATGACTGAATAGTAATACAAAATTATAAAGACTCAATAGTGCCACTTCCGTTAAGACTGTTTTGAAATAAATGTTTTTCAATATTTTTTATTAAATTCCTAGATACCCACAATGCTTTGCGAGAAACATCTCGTCGGTTTTTCCGTTTAATTTAATCATCCATATATTTTCCGTTTATATGAGCCACCACATTTATCTCGCATTAGATGTTTTTTTGAATAAAATCTAACGCACGTTTCTTAGAAATTGGTTATTTTGGGGGGTTACGTTTTACCCGTCTCACAGTGCGCCTCTTTAAATGTTCCTGTCACTGAAAAGGTAACGAAGAACCGTTCCGCATGACGTCACGAATGCTACATTTTTCTTCTAAACGAACTGTTTCAGTTTGAACGTTAATCTCGATAACATATTTATAGACGTTTAAAATTGTTTTTTTGTAAATCCAACTAAACCAAACAATGACAACAGTAATAATTATTTAGCCACAGCCACGTGAACGAGCTTGAAGATTAGCGGTAGTTACTATGGTATAACACATGGGGTCAGCATTTCATCAGCTAAAAGTATAAAATCTTTATAAACACGATTACTGGTTGAACATTATTTGTATTACATTTAAACTAAAGATAAGATAGCACTTTAAATGTTGAAAACCGCTTAAAAACAGCTAACTTTCGAGCTTTTTTTTTTTAACAAAATAGGAATATTCGACTGAAAACGTTTAGACTTCGCAAACTTAAATTATATTTTTTAATTCGTTAAAGTTCAACTAAGAACAGCAAATTCAACACACATTAGGACAAGGCGGGCTTTCTTTTCCTTCTTCGTAACGTTGGTTTTAGCTAGCTAAAATTAGCTAACGTGATTTCAAAAATTATCGTCAAAACAAAACAAAAACTTGTTAAATTCTTTTAAGGTAACTTTTATCTTACCTTGCTCCCTGAAGTGTTAAATTTTACCCGTGTCGTAGACGTGGATAGAGTTTACCTTTCTGAACTAGTTTTTACTCATAAACGTTCAGGTAAAAGAAGCATCCTGTGGAGAGCTTGATTGCGCATGCGCAATGAACACCACAAACTGCATGTCCTTAAACCAGTTTATTCATGCATAAAATTCATCAAGTCCATAAATGAGTAACAATTAGAGCAAATATATGTGTTTTATTATAATTGGAAATATTCTGTTATTATAATATTCTATTCCGTTACATTTTAACTTCCATTACGTAAAAAAAAATACCCACATTTGTTAAATAGAAAGATTTTTTTGATTCATGTATTTTTAACAGCATCGACTTGTTAATAAATAAGTAAGGCTTCATTTTGATAAAATTAAAACAATGATAGCAGTGAACGTGCCCATGCTTATCCTATGTTTTGGCATCAGATTTAAACTGATAAAAATAAAATGAAATAAATTATTTTACACAAGTTCGCTTAAAAATTGATTAAGAAAACATCCGTCAGTGTAGCCATACTTGTGATCATTTTCAGATTTAAGGATTGATTAAAACTATACAATTGAAAGCACAATTCATTCAACCTTTATTTATACACTGCTGCTCAATCTCACTGCTGATATATTGGAAATATGAGTTCTCGAAAATTTTTCTTCATATCTTTTCCAACGCTGTCTTCTTCAAGCCTCAGTCCAAGCACAGCTGGAGATGGAGGCATAATGTTGGTCCTTCACCTGGTGAACACAAAGCAACAAGAGAGACTTCAATTCCTCAAACCAGTTCTTTCAAATGTATTCATGCAAGACTATATTTAATTCATTTAAGTTCTAAAATAACTAAAACTGGGTTGTTCTGGTTTCCAAATAAACATAAAAAAAACAATTCTGGGCTTTTGGTCATTTTTAAAATTCTTATTAATGAAAGAAACCAGTAACCCAGTCCCTGATCTTCCATTTATTTATTTGTGGTTTTGATTTCAGCTATTCATAAACAACAATTAGTGTTAAGTTAAATAAACAAATACTTATTCATGATGTTGAAATATTGCATTAAAATCAGATATCAAACAGGACACAAGTGAATGTAACATATTTAAGAATGTCAAATTAATTAGTTCTCTTCAACACAAATTTAAGCAACATGGTAAAACCTGTCCCATAAAGTATTACAAATATCATATTTTATTTCTTGTAGTGGCTGTTAGTGTTACTTATCTGCTCGCCAGCTCCTTCTTCAGACACGATTTAAAGGAAGATGCTCGCTCCACTGCTTTATAGCCCTGAGAAGGTCATCACGACAGAGGAAAAAATTAATAAAGAAACAGACACATGAGGCGGGGAGAATAAAAAAAAGAGTGCACAAAGGTGATGTGAAATTGGAAAAACAAAATTTGGTTTTAAAAGGAAGTTTATAATTCAGGCACAGCGACAAAAGAGAAACAAAAAGATCAGAAAAAGAAAACATTGTTATTGAGTCAAGACTGCGAGACTAAGAAACAAGTACACAATAAACAATCTAGTTTTAATGTTTACCAATTATTCTCAGGAAAATTCCAATAATGCAACATCTTATAATGTAAGAATAAAAGATGAAGTCTTGCATTAAAAATACCACTAGGGGGCAGTATAGCATTAGGGATTTCATTAGCCTGTAACCATTGCCGTTTTGAACACAATATGGCAAATATAATAACTGTAAATATTTTCTAATGCTGCAGATACTGAGCTATTAAGGTGGTCTAAAATTCCAACCATTGAACTACCAAATCTTGAGTCAATATTGTTCTTGGTTAACTATTTGCATGCACACATTTCATATTGTTAGTCACCATTTAAAGATATAGAATCCTATGCTCATTACAAATCTATATTTCATTAACTACAGTTTTACTAGGTTATTATTTTCAGTAAATACTAGAATCCATATAGAATGACTAAATGTGAATCAAAGCTTTCACTGTTTTTGAAATATTTATACAATATGATAAACGGTATTTTGAAATACAATTTGATCAAGTTTGTTACTCATTCTACAAAAAACGATTTAAAGTTTGTTGTGATGATTTTGGTAGTTTAACAACAATTCTTTCTCTCATGTTAACACATAACACAAAATCAAGCACGTGTCACGGCTGTTTAAAGTTAAGTGTTATTTTAATTCTTAATAAAAATAACCTGATATAACTGTTTTGATCGCCATGTTATATTATATCAACCAAAAAAAGTGCCTATATCTTTATTATTCGAGAACATGAAGCAATTTTTAGACATTTTTAATAATTAAAAAAAAGGGCCAAACTGTTTTTATGCTAGTTTTTAAGCAAGCTTGACTTCTGACTTTTCTCTAAAAGCAGCAATATTTTAACAGGAAATCAATAAATCCTCACCCGCTGTTTGTGATTTTATTTATTTTTTAGAAGATTTGCTTTTTATAAAAGAGATCCGTTTTTCTCAGGAAGCTGATAGGTTCTCACCCTGGCTCCTCTGTGCAGGCGGTCCTTCATGATGCCAATGAACTCCTTGTAGGAGAGCTGGTCATCATGATCGACGTCAAAGATCTTGAAGATGGTGTTCACGAGGTGGCGTGTCAGTTTCAGCCCTGTGGCCACATACACCGCTCTTGCGAACTCATCTAGTCAGGGAGGGGGAACAGGATTTTATTTTATAATTCTGACTTCACTAAAGACTAGAAGTCGAAACAGAGGGCTTCAGAACTTGCAGCTCCAGCTAATTCTTACTACCTTGTCCGATTGAGCGTGAAGCAAAGTTGTACATCTGCATGGCAATGGCAAAGTCTTCAAGGTTATTGAGAAACTGGAAGAATGATCTGAACTCATCGAAGGTTATTCCCTGAAACACAAAGAGAAACGCTGGCTAAGAAATGACAGAAAATTCAATAATTGGTCATGATTTGCACCAAGATGCTTTAAAGTTTAATGTTATGGTTGTTTCAGACTGTTGCAGCAAAATGACATGGGGTGGGGTGGGTGCGGGGGGGTCATGTGTGCATATAACATTCCTTGAGGCACATTCATATTGTTTTGTTTGCGAAAATAAAAGACAAAAAGGGGGAAAAAAAACTCATGCTTTTAGTCGGTAACCAACTAATTTCGATAAAGAGCTTTATAAATGATGTAAGACGTCTTTAATGACAGGTTTGCATGCACAAGTTTAAAAACGCAAGCAGCAGCCTACATCTACTGTTTCATAATTTGGAGTATATGGAGCGATGCTTGTTGTTGATCTTGTGCATTTAGCTGAACGAATGAGTAAACCATGAAGGTTGTGCAGTGTATCCCATGCGCTTTGCTGTGAGTCATTACAGTCAAACCTGTGACATCAATATTCCAAACCAAACGTTCACACATTTCAAGACAAAAAGCAGTTCAGTGAGTTTACGTGAGCACACACAGATAAAGACAAAACGACAGTAAAAATAACTAAAAGAAGAAATAAGAGGGAAAAAGTGACAGCTTGTAACTGCAGGTTGTGTTTTTTTCTGAGGCAGAGACAAACCTCCTGCTTCTTCCACAGCATGAAAAGAGAGGAGGGACAGAAATAGAGTTGGGTTGCAAATGGACATACGGCTGGTGTGCCAAAGTATAGCTAGCTTTCTGGCTAGCATAATGTGATGTATAGTAGGGCTGAACAATTAATTGCATTATTATCGCGGTATGATAAAACGAGATTTTCTAATCGCAAAGGCTGCGATTTGACTGGTCACGTGATCTGCTTACGTGACTTGCGAGGGAGTGGAGCAAAACAGAGCAGGGCGTGGGAGAAGTCAACAATGTGTTTTAACCGGTTGCACAATGGTGTCAGGCTCGACAGAAGCTGATACATCTGAAAGTTTGGTACCAATGAGGTACAGCACGTCCGCTGTTTGGAATTATTTTGGCTATAAAAACCAAGATGCTGCACAACGAACCTGTCTTGATGCTGTTGATACCTCTCGAGGTAACACCACGAAACTTTATCAACACTTTAAAAACATCACAAAGCCATTTACAATAGTTGCATGGCTAGAATGCCAACAACCAGTACTTCAACTTAAAGTATGTTAAGCAAAGTACCAGCCTACAGGGATCATTGACTGAACTGTTTGAAGCTATTACTCCGTATGAACATAATTCAAAACGTCACGCAGAAATAGCTCGAGCAGTAACGGAGTTCATAGTGAAAGACATGATGTCCATTAATATAGTGACCAAGCCTGGGTTTACAGCTTTGGTAAACACAATGGATAAACGGTATAGAACGCCCTCGCGCACACATTTTAGCCAAGTTGCTATACAAAAAAAATATGCAGAAACAGAGTTACAGCGGAGCTGAAAACAGTGGAGGGTTTTTTTTGCAACTGAAACAGATTTATTGCTTGTGTTCATTGAAAAATACATGAGAAGAAGACATTGAGAAATAATCACAATATTGAGGTAAAAAAAAAAAAAAAAATCTCAATTAGAATATTTTCCAAAATTGTTCAGCCCTAATGTATAGATAGATATACAAATGCACAATTACATTAACAAACATTCACATGTAGCTAAAAAAAAAAAAGGTTGTAAATGTGTGTTTGTGTGAGGTCAAGGGAAGCACTGAAGTGTGGAGAGTAACAACAGCCTCAGGCAGACACAACAGAAGAAATATAACAGATGGGTAAAGATTAGGAAAACTACAGTAATGTTATCTATATAATAATAAACCTAAGTGCTCTAATATATTCTTTGCCAGGTAAAGAAGAGTGAGCATGTGTGTAGTGCACCTTTTCATCAGGAATGCACTGGCGGACGTTCTCCATGTAGGCGTTGATGTTCTCCACGTTGGTAAAACGCAGCAGGATTTTGGCAAAGTCCTCCTCGCTGATGGTAGTCATCCCCTTTGAGTAGGTGAGAAACTCGATTTCCAACACCTCAGTCTGGAGGTTATCCATGAATCTGAGAAGCAGAAAAGTGGAGAAGCTGATGTAGGTGGGAATGAAGACTGCGGTTAGCATCGTGTTATCTACTAGAATGTTCAAGTACCTGTAGAAATCATCAAACGTGAGCTCCGCTTTCCCTTTCTTTCCAAAGAAATGCACCAGTAGAGTCGTATCAATAGTGATGCTCTCATCCGAGCGCTGTCAGAGACAGGAATGAGAAAAGTCACATCAGTGATTATTCAAAAAACAGTTATGAGAAGCAACGGGCGGAACGCGTCCATCACCAGTCCAAACTGGACACCGCTGGGCAGGCGAGCAGGAAGCAGGATTCTGCTGCACGTGTGCATAACGTGCACTGAATGAGCAAAATGTCCAAGTTGTCTGTTCTTATATTCACCAATGCATGTGGTATCCAACAAACCAGTCTAGGCAGCAACGTTTATGACGTAACGACGCTTTTAAGATGATTTAAGCTTACAAAATCAAACAGGTAAATGGAAATAGAGGGGAAAAGGAGAAAGTGTTTTTTTTTTTTAATCAAAATGGGCAAATCAAATTAGAAGAATGGAGCTATTTTAGATTTACGCAGTCTAGACTGGTGAGGAGTTTTATTACAAACTGATACTGGCAGACGAACAACAGACAAGAGGTCAGGTAGCAGCCCAAATAAAGGAACAGACTCACATCGCCTACATCCACTGACATGACTGTGGATGGAGGCATGACCTCCATCCCTGAATCACAGGGGGTGCACATATGAAGGACTTTTACATTTAGCAGATGCTAAACACACATGGAAAAAAAAAATCTAACAAACAATGTAAAGCTGTCAAACACACACAGACACATTAATTTCATGCCTTCATCTGCAAATGTCACGTAGAACACAAACAAAACATCACACGACAAACAGCAGTGACACAAAACCCACACAAGCACAGATGCAAAGTATCTTTGAGCTGATTCCACCTTTTTCTGCCAGCTAATGATTACCCCGGCAATCACTTTTGCTACTTGGATCTTCTTGTTTTGTCTTTTCTCGTCTCTCAAGCGATTGCGTGTCCACTCCTGGTCAACTAAAACCCACCCGGTGGGGATTAGACGATGACTTCTGTTTGATTGCTCTGTAATCTGTTGATTAACGCTTCCTTCATGGTGTGAATGAAGCATTCACACTATCGTGAGGCATTTTTCTTCCACACGTTTTCCAGCATCTTTCTTGTTCCACAATTTTTGTGCTATTTCAACAAATCATATCAAAACGTTCAGCTTGTTCAGGAGAATGGTGCTGACTTTGGGTATTGGTGCAACTTTAGCTTTTTGAAATATTTAGTCTTTTCTTACACTTTTTTCTTCATAGAAAATTAATTGAGCTCATTTTATATATTTCATATCTTTAGATCTGTTTACAACCTTTTACTGCTCCTTTCACATTTTGTTCTGCTTCAGCTTCTTTCAGCTTCCTTGTGCAAATTAAAAAAATATTTCAGCTAATATCAGCTGTTTTTTCAGCTGTTTGTTTGCTCCTTTCAACTTGTTTCTGCTAACTACATTTTTTGAGCTTCTTCTAACTTCTTTCGGCTCCTTTCAGCTTATTTATGCCAGTTTCAGCTTTTTCTGCTACTTCAGCTACTATTTAGCTGTTATGCAAATTTTTGATTTTTCAGCTAATTTCATATTTTTTGCACTCATTTAAACATTTTTTTTTCCGTCTAATTCAGCTACTTTCAGCTGTTTTTTTTTTGCTTGTTGCTAATTTCAGCCTTTTTCAGATAATTTATACTTCTTTGTGCTCATGTCTGTTTCTTTAAGCTTAATTGGGCAAATGTGTTCTTTCTGCTTTCTTATGCTAATTTAAGTTTCTTCTAACTTTTCAGCTACTTTTTTTTAGCATTTTTTTAAGCTAATTGAAGCTGTTTTCAGATCAATTCTAGTTTTTCAAGGCCATTTCTGCTCATTTCAGCCTAATTAACTTCTTTAAGCTAATTTCAGCTTGCTGTACCCCTTTCAGCTTATTTCTGCTAGTTTCAGTTATTTCAGCTACTATTTAGCAGTTTGCTGCTAATTTTAACTTTTTCAGCTAATTCCAAATTTTTTGCAATAATTTCAACTTTTTTCAGTCTACTTCAGCAAAACTGCCCTCTCTCCACTTCCTTCTGGTAGCTTAAGCTTCTTTTTTGCTGTTTCAGCTAATTTTCCAGTCCTTTTTGCTAATTTTAGCTCTTTTTTTAAGCTAATTTCCTATTTTTTTTGTGCTCATTTCTGCTCATTTAAACCTAATTCAGTAAATATGTCTTCTTACTGCTTTCTTTTGCTGATTCAGGCTTGTTTTTTTTTTCTATTCAGCTACATTTCAGCATGTTTTTAGCTCATTTCAGCTGTTTTTCAGCAAGTTCTTCTGCAATAAGCATTCACATTGCATTTTCCCAGGAAATGCAATTTCTCTAGTTTGTTTAAACAATGGAGTGGCATGGGTAACTTATAGCCTCTGAGAAAAATTCTGCCTCAGTATGTACATCTTTGTGCTATACTTCAGAAAAAGGTGACGGTGCCTTTAGGTATCAAGAGAAAAAGAAAGAACCTCAGAACTCCTTTCTCTGAGTCTGCCATGCCCCACCCAGCCAACCCCACTGTCAAATCCTTGGCCATGCAGAGAAGTGACATCAGATTAAATCAAATCTCATGTCAATCTAAGGAGGAGGAGCCTATATGCCATTTCCATCATCATCATCATCATCATCATCAACATCGTAAATATCATCATCACCACGATGCATTCGTGGTTCTACCTCAAGGGTAAAATCCTAAACTCCAGTGTGGGACAAGAAGAAAATGTTGAACAAGATGACACAGATGCAAATAAGAACAAAAGGTAACACAAAATGTTTTGTTGTGCTCGTTTGGTGCAACAAAATGTTCTTATTCAGCACAAACGTCCATGAGTGACAGATAGAGAAAATCTAATGGCACGAATGAAAACAGCTTCTTTGGATTAATAAAATATATGAAACAATTTTAAAAACCACCTGAACATTACACTTTTTCGGGGGGGTCAAAGGGTTTTTAATGTAGAGCGCTTAAGCACCATCACGAGTTTAAAAAAGTGACATTTGGAATGAAAATGTTTTTGAGCACATTCATTTTCACGACTTCGAACATTTAACTTGTCTTGACGTTGATATGCCTCTGAGACGAGACAGTGAAAACCTTTCAACAAACACAGACTTATCATTTTGTTGTCTTGTTTTTCTTGTCTCAGTTACTGGAAAGAACTTTTTATTAAACCTCTAATTACAAACAAACAGCATGGAAACACATTTGCTCTTTTATCTTTAAACTGACACATGACTGATGTCTTTATGACACATGAGATGTTCAGACATTAAGACAGCATCCAGGTGGCGTGTCTCTGCCTCCATCCTCTGTTTCTGGGGGAGGATCAGCTGCTGTTCTGCTGGTTTAAGGTTATATCAGCGAGGAGCTCACTGAACTGGGATCAGTTTGATACATTTAATGTTGAGTGGCACATCAGATTTTTACATCTCAGATTTTGGAGGAAGTGCCACAACAAACTGGATTTTGTGTAAATTCCTAAAGTTTTCATTGTTGGTCATTCAGTGTAAACCAACATAAAAGTTATCATTCTTAGATCAATAAAAAACAAATAAATGCACCTTTATCCTTTTTTATTGTTAACTAGATGACTGTTGACGAAGCTTTGCTATTAACAGAAACAAAATTCTGTTTTTATTCTCTACATTGAGCATTTCACAAGTGAAGGTTAACTTGATGTGTCGGTTTGTAGATGATGTCATCTGTTCTACCTGTGGCAGCAGCAAACAGGTGCACCTGTTAAATCAGCACATTACCAGACTCCTAATTGGTACCAGTAAAAGAGACAGTATCTCATGTGGCTTCCTGTTCAATACAGGATTGATTTTAAAAGTCTGTCTATTTTGATTCTTTTCATGGCCGCTTGGATAATTATCAGAACTAGTCTGCCGTTTATTTTTATTGCCGCTTGTTTTAGAAAAAGCATATGACAGGGTGTCGAGGGAGGAGGTGTGGTATTGCATGAGGAAATCTGGAGTGGCAGAGTTAGACTGGTACAGGACATGTATGAGGACAGCAGGACAGTGGTGAGATGTGCTCTAGGAGTGACAGATAGCTTCAAGGTGGAGGTGGGCATGCATCAAGGATCAGCTCTGAGCCCCTTCTTGTTTGCTCTGGTGATGGACCAACTAAAAGATGAGGTCAGACAGGAATCCCTGTGCACTATGATGTTTGCAGATGACATTGTGATCTGTGGTGAGAACAGGGAACATGTGGAAGAGAACTTGGAGAGGAGGTGGAGGTATGCACTTGAAAGAAGAGGAATGAAAGTCAGTCATAGTAAGACAAAGTACATGTGTGTGAATGAGAGGGAGGCCGGTGGAACAGTGAGGCTACGAGGAGCAGAGGTCACAAAGGTGCAGGACTTCAAGTACAGGAAAATGGGGAGGGTGGTAAAGAGGTGAAAAGGAGAGTCCAGGCAGGATTGAATGGGTGGAGAAATGTTTCACGAGTGATTTGCGACAAAAGGGTGTCAGCAAAGGTCAAAGGAACAGTTTACAAGACAGTGGTGAGACCAGCTATGTTGTAGGAGACAGTGGCATTGACAAAAAAAGACAGGAGAAAGAACTGAACATGACAGAAATGAAGATGTTGATGTTCTCCTTAGGAGTGACAAGGATGGATAAGATTAGGAATGAGATCATCAGAGGCACAGCACAGGTTGAACAACTGGGAGATAAAGTTAGAGAGGCCACACTGAGATGGTTTGGACATGTCCAGAGGAGGGACAGTGGGTATACTGGTAGAAGGACGTTAGAAATGCAGCTGCCTAAAGTTAAGTGATTGATTACAGTAGTATAAATTACTGGATGACATGCAAGAAACATTTGACATTTAATGTCATCATAAAAACAATCATCTCCAACCCAATAAACAAAATGGATCTCTTCCTGAGTTTGCTTTTATGTTGTGTTTGCACTTTGTTCCTTCTTGTCCGACTGAAGAAAAATGTCTCTTTTTGTTGTGCAAGAAATTCTCAAAGGTTTCTTTTTTTTCCAATAGACTTAAACTTATCACAACAAGCTTATCTTTCCTGGAAGAGTGGCAGGAGCGGTGTGAGCTCATCTGTCTGACAGCGTAATTGTCACCACGCCTATGAGGCACGAGCCAACACCTGGTAAATGCATGTCTGTTTATCCATCTGTGTGTTTGTGATCCTGACAGTCTTTGATCGTGACGTCGAGGGTAAAAACAGTAATTACTGATGTAAACCCTAAACGTTCTTCCTCACCCTATCCACCTGTGAGTAATGCTCCAGAGGACGAGCTCATTGTCGGTGTTTAGCCAAGACAGTCAGTCGCACCTTCTAGCCATGAAAACAGCTAACGCTCCTACCGCCTCGAAAGGCCTCTTCATTTTTTCTGCACATTCCTCAATCCCTCACCCTCACTTTTTTCTCACCCCCCCTCTCCCTTGTCAGCGCTGTGCTTTCTCCTCCTACCCTGCTCTGATTACTCTGGTTTTCTTTCACCCCATAGTACCCGTCAGTACCTCCTTCACCTGACAAACACAGGAGTGATTTGCTCCCTCCCTTTCTGCCTGTCAGTCAGTTCCTCCTCCTGCAGACAAAAGCAAAGAGGTATTATAATGACTAATCTGTTGAGTAAACACATCTTCCTCTAAATACAACCTGCTTCTTTCTTTTTTCCCCTAAATGTACTTCCCGAAGCTTCTTCTCACCCACTTTGTTCCTGAACATTTGTTCTGTCTGCTGACCTGTGTCATTTGCTTTTAGCCTTTCTCACCTGTTTGTTGACTCTCTGATTATATCTCTTCCTATTTTCTTCACACTCAGGTTTTCTACTTATCAGATCACATTCTACTAGGGGGTTTTCCTATAACCCCTTTAATCTTTTCTGTTTGCTGTGACCCTTTGGGCTGCATTAGAAATTAATGTATTTTTTAATTTCTAATAATTCCCGACCTCCAACCTAATTTCTCTGTTCTATTCGAGAGATGAAAGATTGTTTCTGTAAATACAAGGTCAGCCTCAAACTGCTACACTATCATTACCACCGGCTAAGCTTCCGCAGCTACCACAGCACCCAGTCTGTCATTAGTCAGCTAGCCTGTTAGCACGACGTTAGCTGTAATTAAACAAGTATTCATCTTATCTATTTGTTAAAAATATGAATTGAGTCAGAAATCACAGGCGTTAAGAAGAAATGGTGTTTGTATCACCGCAAACATGCTCTGGTTTGAGCCACGTTTATCTGTTTTAGACAGTTTTTTGTGTGTTCCCCAAAATAGTCAGTCCACATTTTGTTCCAAACTAAAATATTTTAATGGACACCATACTGATGCACCATACTTTTCGACTTATAAGTTGCAGGCTTTTTTTGCATAATTTACATGTCCTGTGATTTATACACCGAAGCGACTTATTTATCTTCCCCCCATATTTATAAACCAATTTTTGCCTGAGATATGACCGTTTTCATTCATTCTGACTGAAAATATTGAACATTTACCATATTCAGCCACTAGATGGCACTCGAGCAGTATGGCATAACATTGTGTCATGTAATAGGTAAAAGTGGCTATTAATGACACAATCGGCTTGCCACAGCCTGCCACCTTCGTCCAGTTCGCCTGGAGCAACCGTCAAATCAGCTTCATTTCGCTGCGCCGCCCCGGTGAAATGCAGCTAATTTGACCAATGAAGTGCATTTATTAAGTAAAAGTTCAACTGAGACACACCTTTACTATAATGTCGAGCAAATAAATACCGGTAATTGTTTTATGTGCTTATCTTGTTAAATTTTGACGAAATGCACAGCGTTCCTCCTTCCAGATTTCGTCCCTGTTTTTTAACGGTAATACTTTTGGAAAATCTATTACTGTACAATTTGGCAATTAGCCAATATCATAATCTGTCATTTAAATAAAAACAAAATGCTTAACCTAAAAAAGAACAAGACAAACGGTCATCACTGTAGTCTAATGAATATTTTGAAGTGCATTGTGAAATTTGATGATTAAACCATGTCTTAACATTTACGTATGCATGCTCATTTGAGTTTGAGGAGGCTTTAGATCAGTCTGTGCAAGCAGAGACAGAAATGTATTGTGTTAATAAGTTTACCATAGAAAACAGTTTACACTGTCGAATGGTCAAAGACATTTTTGTGATGTAGACAGGCTCAGTGTGTGTTTCCCTCGTTCATTTTTGTTTCACAGTCACTTTAAAACATGTGATGTAACGTTTACCCCAACCTTTAAAAAGATATGTGAAAATGTGCCTTAAAGGTTTCTTGACAACCTGGTAAGAACATATTTATTATCAACATATTGACATTAGGCTTTCCCTCAACAGTACAATTTAAAGCCTCAATCTGGTTCACAAATATTTAAATGCATTATAAATATGTTCTACTGTTGAACTATTAACTTTAAAATGCATATATTTGTTGATAGTTTTGTCATCACATGTTTTGTGATGCTGGTGAACAACTGATATTACTTTAACAACTACTCATAATTTCTGGACAAATCAAGATGGACAGGTATTACTTTGAGAAATGGGACATAATTAAGCGATGCGCATGTGCTCTGTAGTCAACTTTCTTACATGTTGATACTGTTTAATACCGTTGCATCTAGGGGAGCACCGATAAATCTGCTCTCCCTCAAAATTTATTCTGAGGGAGATAAATCGATACATCGATAAACCGATAAATCGGCCAGCCAATTTATCAGCCCAAATTTTTTTTATTTTGGGTGATCAGCGATCGGCCGATACTTACATGAGAAACCGATTTTACCATTTTTGTTTGCTTGTTTTAAAACAATTGTCTAAACTTCATTTATATTTCAGAGCACTACCTTATGGCCAGTTAAAACAAGTTTGTATTGTTTCTAGGACATTGTTCAAGGGTATGTTTTACAATAAAATCAGATTGGAAAATTGAAGGTGCATTGTGACCTTATAACACCTGACAGTGTCGCTTATAAAACAAAATCTGTATCGGCCAAAATCGGAATCGGCAGGTCAGGCTTTGTAGAGATCGGCGATCGACCAGAAAACTGCAATCGGTGCACCCCTAGTTGCATCTAACGTTTTTGGTTTAAAGTGAAACTGATTGGACAGCAAAAGCCCCAACATGGCACAGATACACATACAATGAAGGAGTATGAAGGAACCAGATGAGTTGGAGCAGAGCAGAGAAAAGTAAAATCAAAAATATTATTTTTAAGAACATACAGTTTGTAGGGAAACTACTTTTTAACAATTAGTAAGATTTTTGTTTGTTTAGAATAAAACAACTCAATGAAACGTAATGGGATGGGGAAGGAAATTAACATTTATGTGTTGAATCCTGATAAAAAACATTTACCACAAATTGTATTCAATCGGTTGTGCATACTGAGATGATTGCAAAGAGCTTTAGAGCTCATAAGAAGAAAATTATTTCACATTGAAACAAACAAAAAAAAAAAACATTGAAAGAAATGTATGGATTTATATAAAAATGACAAGCATAATGATATGGGACTAAAGTTTAGAAAGTAAAACTAGATGTTCAGAAAATAAAATAAAAAGTAAACAATAATGTGTCTTACATACATATCCAATATGAAACCTAACCACTGATAAAAATAGAGTAACCTAATTTAAACTATAAACCAAAAGTAAAGTATTTTTAAATTTTGCTTCTGTTTGAAAAAGAAAAAAAACCCTGAAAAGTAACAAATTACTGGTACAATAACTTTAGATTACGAGTTTCTGGGCATCTGCTAAACTAAACTTTTATTCTGAAGGAAAGATTTTGTTTTGCTGACTAAACAGAAAGCAGCAGCAGGTCTCTGAATCTCAGGGGATTATTTTAAGAAAATATAATTCAACAGAACTACATGGAAAAACAAAATGAAGGGTGTAAAATGGAGGGATGAAGCGACAATAGTTCTGTGTACCTCCGCCAGGTCAGAAAAGAGGACTTGACTGGCGCTTCGCCTCAAAACGTCCCAGTAACTTCGTGCCACAAACTCTTGACTGTCTCTTTTTAGCACCTGTAGGAGTGGTCAAGCAGGGCATCAGTCAGTTCACGTCCTGCTCACAGTCACTTTTCAAAATCAATTTGTTTATTTTAAACAAATTTTTCATAAATTTCAAAATCAAACTAAACAGTAATAAATATTAATAAGCAGAGCCATGTATAAAAGCATTTAAAAGTGGTCATTTCAGTTTCCACATGGTTCCCTTAACATCACAGGCTGTTTTCTGTTATATCCTGTCAAAACTGCAAAACACTAATAGATATTTTTATTTATGTGGAATATATCTAAATTATACGTTTGGTGCAAACAAACATGAACCGTAACGAGGAAAATGACTAAAAAAGGAAGAACGAGACTACGATAATTCATTTCTGATTTTAAAAAGGGTTTTTCATTTGTAAAAACAAACAAACAAAACATAAAGTGCGGTAAAAGCATGATGGATGCGTATTAAACCTACAATAATAAAATCCCTTTTAGTAGCTATTTTTTTAATATTTGCTCGTAATTATTGAGCAAAATCACATGCATCACCTAACTTATTTCAAATTAAAAGCATTTAATAAGGCTGAAAAATAAACCAGATTTATCATTTAAGTTCTAACACCAACGGACCATAGCGACATAAAAACAACTAAAAGTCTAAATTTCTGACCACCCACCTCGCCTCCCTCTCAGGGGAGAATCCCACAGCAGCATTTTAACATGACCCTGCACAACTCTTAACTTCACGGTGACAATGGAGCTATCCATCACAACACTGACAGGACAAGTAGTGTATGTGTGTGTGTGTGTGTGTGTGTGAAGAAAAAACAACTTGAGACACGAACGCAGTTAAAGACAGGCTCAAAGCGACTACAGTTCCAGGGCTGTACGTCCATTTATTGTAACTTCAGTTGAAATATTTGTTTTTATCAAAGTAATTTTGTACTAAAGTTTCTAAGTTTGTTAATGAAATGTAATTTATTGCTTTTTCCAGCTAATTATGAATGAGGAGATATTTCAACAAATTGTTTATCAACACGTTCAGCTCTTTCAGGACAATCCTTCTATGACTTTTGGTATTGGTGCAACTTTAGCTTTTTGAAACATTTAGCCTTTTTTGACATTTTTTTCCACATAGAAAATGAATTTAGCTCATTTTACATCCTTCACATCTGTTTACAACCTTTTACTGCTCCTTTCACATTTTGTTCTGCTTCAGCTACTTTCAGCTGTTTTGTGCTTGTTTCAGGATCTTTCTGCTAACTAAAACATTTTTGTGCTTCTTCTAACTTCTTTCTGCTAAATTCAGCTTAATATGATCCTTTCAGATTCTTTCTGCAAGTTTCAGCCTTTTCTGCTATTTCAGCTACTATTTAGCTGTTTTTATTCTAGTTTAAGCCTATTTAGCTAATTCCAAATTTTTTGCACTCAAACTTTTTTCAGCATAATTCAGCACAAATGTGCTCTTTTCACTTCCTTCTGGTCATTTAAGCTTCTTTCTGTCTTTTTTTAGCTACTGGTACTTTTCAGCAGATGTTTTGCTAGTTTCTGCATTTTTCAGATAATTTCCACTTTTTTGTGCTAATTTCTGTTTCGTTCAGTCTGATTGGGCAAATATTTTTTCTGCTTTCTTATGCTGATTTAAGCTTGTTCTACTTTTTCAGCTAACTCTTTAGCATATTTTAGCTAATTTCAGATAAATTCAAGTTTTTCATGGTAATTTCTGCTACTTTCAGTCAAATTAAAGTATTTCTGCTAATTTCAGCTTGTTATGCTCCTTTCAGCTTATGTGTGTTAGTTTCAATTATTTCAGCTAGTATTTAGCTGTTTTATGCTAATATTAGCTTTCTCAGCTAATTCCGTATTTTTTGCACTCATTTCAACTTTTGTGTTCTTTCTGCTTTCTCCTGCTGAGTTACGCTTGTTCTACATTTTCGGCTGCATTTCAGCATTTTTTCTTTAGTTAATTTCTGCTGTTTTTCAGCAAGTTATTCTGCAATAAGCAGTCACACTGCATTTTCACAGGAAATGGAATTTCTCTAATTAATTTTGCAATCACAAAGCAGACATGAGTTACTCGTTTGGTTATTGTCCAAAGACAACACGAACATCTCTCTGAGAAGAGTTAGTAAAATATTTATTGAAGAAAGAAAGCTACCTATCTTTAACAAACGTCCACCGCAGGGACATGCATACGCTACAAAACAAACCGCATCCGGTCTAAAATAGAAAGAATCTGATTGTGTTTGAAGCTTCGAAACATCTCAGGTCATTCAAAATCACATCACTCTTAGTAAGAGTTCATCTCTGCTGACCCCTTGAATCTATTACTCTTCTTCTGCTATTCTTCTGTCCATTTAACCAACCGCCTCCACCGTTTCTAGATAAATCAATCATCTGACCAGACAGATGGACACCCTATCTGAAATGTTCCTCTGTCTCTCTCTCTTTACGTATGTCCTTTCATCCTTCTCTTTGTGGAGCCGACAGAGTACATTTTTACTGATAACAGAGGATCAGGTGGACTGTGCAGGGGTGAAGGCTTGTTCAGTGGCCAGGTCAGTGACTGACTCGGGCATTTAACTCTGGCATAGTTTACATGTACACCACTGGAAACTGCTAAAATTTGTAGAACCTAGAAAAGCCATAAATTAGTCCTTTATGATGTCAATCTTTTTTTTTACTGATTGACCAGTTCTAGATCATAACCACACTTATCTAAACAGTTCGGTTGCTCATGAGCTTCAACAAGATCTTTTGAATGCAAAGTGTTTTGCCAGCTCACTTAATGAATAAACATGTTGCATGTGTGAAAATTAAAGACTCAACCAGAGCGTTATCGTAGCTTAGCATGAATTAAAAAAGAGTTAGTGTGTGAATGTTTATGAAGCATTCACACTATGATCCATTTTTCTTCCATACACTTTTCGGCATCTTTATTGTTCCAGAATTTTTGTGATATTTCAACAAATCAGGACAGTCCTGCTATGACTTTTTGTACTGGTGCAACTTTAGCTTTTTGAAATATGTAACCTTTTCAGCCACTTTTTTCTCATAGAAAATTAATTGAGATCGTTTTACAGCCTTCAAATTTTTAGATCTGTTTACAACCTTTTACTGCTCCTTTCATATTTTGTTCTGCTTCAGCTTCTTTCAGCTTCCTTGTGCAAATTTAAACATTTTTTCAGCTACTTTCAGCTGTTTTTTCAGCTGTTTTGTGCTCCATTCAGATTATTTCTGATAACTAAATCATTTTTGTTTCTTCTTCTCACTTCTTTCTGCTAATTTCAGCTTGTTATGCTCCTTTCAGCTTAGCTCTGCAAGTTTGAGCTTTTTCTGCCATTTCAGCTACTATTTAGCTGTTTTATGCTAATTTTAGCCTTTTCTGCTAATTCCACTTTTGTTGCTCTCAATTAAACTTTTTTTCAGCTTAATTCAGCAAAAATGTGCTCTCTCCACCTTCTTCTGGTAATTTAAGCTTCTTTCTGCAATTTTTAGCCACTTTTCAGCTGTTTTTTGCTAATTTCATTCTTTTTTCAGATAATTTCTACTTTTTGTTCTCATTTCTGCTTATTTCAGCCTAATTGAGCAAACATGTTTTTTTTCTGCTTTCTTATGCTGATTTAAGCTTGTCCTGTAAGCTATAAGATAGCTTTTTTTTTTTTTTTTTTTTACATATTTTAGCTAATTTCAGCTGTTTTCAGATACATTCAAGTTTTTCATGATAATTTCCACTACTTTCAGGTTAATTAAATTATTTCAGCAAATTTCAACTTGTTATGCTCCTTTAAGCTTATTTCTGCTAGCTTCGGCTATTTCAGCCACTATTTAGCCCTCATTTTAGCTTTTGTGTTCTTTCTGCTTTCTCCTGCTGATTTACGCTTGTTGTACATTTTCAGCTACATTTCAGCATGTTTTTTTAAAGCTAATTTCAGCTGTTTTTCAGCAAGTTCTTCTGCAATAGGCATTCACATTGCATTTTCTCAGGAAATGCAATTTCTCTAGTAATACATTGCTGCAGCTCACTTTCTGTCCTTTACGTCATGAGTCATGAATCTGCCCCCACATCCAAAGGCCTGGTATGCCACAATGGGCTTGTATTATTCTTGGCAGCTTGTTTTTTACCACACAGCTTGATGCTGAGCTGTGCAGCGCTGCCTAGATGTGATGGGCAACCACATATTTTTTTAATCTAACTGTTGCATACAATGCTATCAAATTGATCCATCAGTTCTGATGTTAACGGATTCTCCTTTTTATTTTAAACTGCAGTTTCCTTTCAACGTTGATGGACCGAGCTGATGTGTTTTCTCAAAAAACCCTGAAGTATTTTACCATGGCTTTTAGTGGCTCAAGTTCCAGATATAGTTGATAAAAACGTAATAAAAAAATAAAAAAAAACCTGTACCGTGAGATGGAAACGAGCCAAAAGTAACACTTTTGAACAAGTTTGGAACCAATTCTATAATGACACAACTTTCCCTTGAAAGGCTTAAAGCTTTACTGACCTGCGTGACATGAAGCATGTTTTTATTCTCAGAACTTCAGATCTGTTATGCCCTTGTCTACATCATAAAGATGTAGATAAGTTAAAGATGAAAAACCTTGTGGGCTTCAAGCTTTTTGACTTGGCAACCCTTTTATATGCAGAAGAAAAGCTGTTACGGACCCTGAATGAAAAGGGAACAACTGAAAGCTGCAAAACTTGTGTCTGAATATTTTATGCATGCAAACAGACTATTGGAATTCATAAACCTTAAAGGTCACGGCATCCTGTTTCTTTGGACTGTGTAAGACTTGATACATTGAACAAGTTGGGTATATTATAATCAATAATTAGTTTTGTTAACCAACTTTAAAGATAAGCCAAAAAGACAATGTCCCGTTAGTAGTTTTAACAATTGTGAAATGTTAGTTTATTATCAGCATCATGATGGATTCCTCCTTGTCTTTGGTACTTTGTTTCATATCCCACCTAAATTGAAATATGTGTAGTAACCATGCTGACAAACACTACCAGTTCTGTTTCACTGTTACCCGCCAAAAAATCGAGACAGGTTTAGAATACATACGCTGTTCATGGGCGCAACCTGATATCCATACAGCTGCATACTCTAACACACAGAGAGAGACATGAGGAAGAGAAAGAAGAGGACAGAGCATGCAGTCAGACAGGAAGAAGAGGGGAGAAGGTAAAACACATGTTAGTGCATGCAAGGAAGGAGGATGTCACTTACTACACACCTGAGATTACATTTTAGAAAACATACTTGCAGTACAACTCCGAGCAAGACATTTTTTATAATGTCGTAAGATTTATGTGTAAAAAAACCAAAACATAAAACCTCAACTCCCCTCGCTCAGAGTAACCATCTGTTTAAAGTGAACAGCAACTGCCTGCGATACAAATACATATTTAAAATTAACCTTTCTTTTGAACCGAAGCACAAACACTTCCTTTCAAATCTAATAGTTTATGTATCAAGATACAGTAGTCCCTCGCTAATTTGCGGTTCAACTTTTGCGGACTCGCTCTTTTGCATTTTTTCAAAGTGCAGTACTGTAAGATTGTACAAAACAACAAAAAATAAAATAATAATAATAAAATGATAATGAAAAAGTGCTGCCATTTTGTAGTTTTATCTCAATCTGTATCGCCAGTCTAAAGGACTACAGTACCCAGAAGGCAACAGTGCACTACCTAGAAGGCAAAGTTGCTTCCTGCTGAAATGGAGGGAAAGTTTTGATCAGATCAGAAAAAGTTCAGTCCTTACAGTATGCATAGTGACTCTGGCACTCAGTGGATATGGATGCAGAGAGCCGATCAGAACCAGACCAGAACCAGAGCTAGGCTGGGTAGGTCTGCTGAACCGGAATTGAGCCAGACTGGAACTGAGCTGCAGAGCTGGTGAGTAAAAAGGCAATACTTCTCACTCAATGTAAAATTGAAAGTTGAGTGAATAAACATGATCAAGTTATCTTGATTAATAAACTCTTGTTAAATAAACTGCTTCTTTAGTTTAGTTGATTTAAATTTATTAGTTGAATGAACTGTTATGGTTTGTTGTTTCAACTCAGAAATCTATGCCATTTCTACTTTGCAGATTTTCCACTTATTGCCCGCAATCCCCACGATAAACAAGGGACTAGTGTATATATAACCGATATTCTTTTCTTTACTTGATTTTAAACATTTGATAATACAACCTCAAATAAACAACAATACATACTGTGTCATTATTTATTTTACAAACTGTTTTTCAGCTACAGGAACTGGGCACCATACACACTGAGCCATCCACAAGTCTTCTGTAAACCAAAGTGTCCTACAGTCAGATGAGTCTGTCTCTGTCCTACAGCTGAAGAAACTAAGTTATGCAGCAAGACCATAAACCATAGTGCACCTGCACATTTACAACAGAATAGCTGATTAAAAAAAATAATAATAATCTGTTTTTTTTTGTGCCTTGGTTCAGTCAAAATCACACCTCATCCCATATGAAATAACTTAAGAAGCTTTAACTAAACAAATGCCAAAACCTCAGTAAACTTAACCTACACATTATGGACATGTGGGGTTTGTGCTTGCTTTACAGGTTAGGTTTATTTCTAAAACTTGTTATAATTTCAGGTATGAGTTTTCTTGTTTCTGGCCCGTCTCTCCCCTGTACCACAGAGCAATGCTTCCCTCAGAACCTCCTTCAATTAATTAACCATTAACCATTCTGTTGTCTGCTCTTCACTGTCCTTTGGGTAATTCCTGACGTTTCGCTCCTGTGAAGGTTACTTTTGCTGCCCTTCATTAAGGTAACAGTCACTTTAGTTTGTTTGTTCCAAAGTCTTTGGCGTTTCTTTGAGTCTGCACATTGAATCCTTCACACCATAATTTGATGATGTAACAGTAAAGATAAAAACATCACAGTGACGTGAGAAATTAATTTCATACAAACAAGAATCACTTCAAGTTGCTGCTGATAAAGGAGGTTCAACTAGCTAAATTACACACAAACATATATATATATATATATATATATATATATATATATATATATATATATATATATATATTGCTTTTCACAAACTACTTTTGCATTTTGACTTAGCTTTAATTAATTAGATACAAATTACATTAATTAAATTTTGTAATGTCACGTAGTTCATCTGAGTGTATATACAGTTTTTACATTTCCTTTAAAAAATTGAATGAAAGTGAACTTCTTATTTTTATCTACTTTTAGTGTTTATCTGTGACAAATAGGTTTAATTTCATTACTGATTTATTGACATCTCTAGCTCTAAATGTGATCCTAATGCATTATTAGGCAGCAGAAACCTGCACGTCAGCTGTTGGCAGTTTACAGATGTGAGTGGTGCAGGTGGTGTTGTAATGCAACGTTTCCAGTTGTCTCTACACTTCAATCATAGAAGTGTAGGGTCTTTGAAAACATCACACATGACAAGCGCACAGTAGGGATAAGTGGCATAGCGGTAACAGAGAAGTTACCACGTGGTCAAAAACAGCTTGTATGAACCTGGGTGCACTAAAACCTGTCATACAAACGACTGAGTTACTTTTATACCTGCTTCACTACAGATGGCAGTCAAAATGAATGATGATTAGTCATTTTCAGCACATTAACATAAAGAGATAAACACAACACTTGTCTTTGAGTAACTGTAAATCAAGTTTTTAACAATTTACACACATGGATGCAGTAAAATGCCACTTTACATGCTTTCCATGTTACTGTTAACCATTCTAAAAATACGTACATATGCATATATGTATCGTTTACCTTACTGGTGCAAGCAGCATTATTAAAATCAACATCGCAGCAGATAAGGATGTTCATGGTTGCACAAGAGGATCAGGAATCGTCACAGGAACAAAATCTGATTTTGATAACTTTCTTACCAACTGCGCTGACTTCTCTGCATCTCCTTTCCTTCCTTTTTTCTCATTTTTCTTACGGAAGATCTCTTGAAGCTGTAATGAAAAAAAAAGATATTATTGACAAAGCAGAGCTTAACCCTGAGCCGTTAGAACCTTAAAGTTCCTACATTTTAAATATATTCTGTGTTTCCTTTATCAATGTACAGCAGAGTCACACATATCACAGAACAGATATGACATAAGTTGCTGCTGCTCTACAATCTGTCTTCAGAGTTATTTCCGTATTTTCCGCCGTAAACGTCACACCGCCCTATAAGTCGCATCAGTCCAAATATGTCTAATAAAGTGGGAAAATCCATAAATATGTCGCTTCGCCGTATACACCGCATCTATTATGCATCACCGCTGACGTGTCGTGTTTGTTACATGTCACCACTGACAACCTGGAAATGTGGGCCGGTGCGCCAAAAATCGGAGAGTGCACGGGTTGACTTTAACAAGAATTTAACAAGATTAATACTTACAAACAATCATTTGTTTGCTCAGAATTATAGCAAAGGTGTGTCTCAGTCGCAGGGCATGTGAATTATGTAAGACACTGTGACTTATAGGGTGAAAAATATGGTAAATGGCTACATTTTAGTGGAACTGCAACTGGAAGTCGTCTTCCAATCGAAGGATTTGATCCCAAGGCCTTGCAGGGTAAAATATATAATACTGGATTCCACTGAATATGTGTGTGTATGTATGTAAATGGTGAATGAAGAACAGTGTCAGGTGCTTTGCAGAACCTGGAAAGGTTTTAAAGGTGCTATACAGTATAAGAGTGGAGCATTTACCGTTTCTATTGCTCAATGTGGAAGATCACAATCACCTGACTGCCTGATTCAAATCCGCACTGGATGGCAGAAGAACATGTGTTGTTTGCTTTAAACTCATTTCTTCACAAATTTAAGCAAAAATAGTCCAATCCTGCATTGTGGTTGGATTCACAAAAAGGTGGGAAAAGTGGAGTAGAATTTTTTGGCACCGTGTACCGAGTAAAAAATGTCCCAGATGGAGGAAAGGAGTGGATCTCGTGATCAACAGAAAGGCCTGGATTCAAGGTTTTTGTCTGTGGCATTCAGTTCCTGTCAGACAAATCTAGTTATTCATTTTCATGCATAAGAAATTCTGTGATCTGTCTCCTATATTGAGGTACAACTTATGTGATACATGCCGATTCTAACCGATACTGAAAAAAGAAAACAGCAGTTTCAGAATGCATTACGTATTTTCACAAGGAAAGAGCTGGGAACACAACAGAAAATTAGCCTGTAGAATTTATTTGACTACCGTAATTTCTGGACTATAAGCCACTACTTTTTTTCCACATGCTTTGAACCCTACGGCTTATACAATGCTGAGGCTAATTAATGGATTTTTTTTTTTTTTTTGACAGGTTAGTGAGCTTCCTGCTGCCAAAACATTTAGCCTCGTCACTCCCGGACATAGCTGCCCAACACACGACTCTCTTGGTGGGTGGGTACTCGTGACTCAATAAAGGAAAAAAAAAAAAATTAAATAAATTAACCCAATGAAATGACTGAACAGATCACAGTGGACCAATTAAACTTCGAATTACCGTAAACCAAACGTGCTCACACTAAATTCTTCAGATCAGTTATTCTGAGCTTCATGCACAGACCCTCATTATGGAAAACACACGAAGAAATGCAGATGATACAGCTTTCAAGTTAAAAACTATCGATGTGGCTGTCAAAGAGAAAAATAGAGCTGCAAGTAAGCTTGGCATTAATGAATCGACAGTGAGACACTGGAGACGGCAGTGTGAAGATAATGATCAGTGACTTTTCCTGGAAGGCTACTGTATTTTTTATTTTTTTTTAACCAGCTGTGTTACAGGCACTGTAAAAAAAAAAACACTTACTGTACGTATTTGTGTTTGTTACTGATACATATTTAATTAAAAGTTTAAAAAATAGTTCTGTGTAAATATCTCATGTTACAACGTGGACACCCACGACTTATAGACAAGCTTGGCCTATATATATGTACAAATTATTGTTTTTTAATGGGCGTGGCTTATATTTAGGTGCGCTTAATAGTCCGGAAATTGCGGTATTATCAAGTTGACAGTAAAACTGTGATTTCCCAAGTTTGTGGTGGTCGATTTTCTTCTTTATCGTCTCAGTCATTGTTGGCTGTTTGCGTTCTGCCATCCGACATACTGTGCATGCGCAAAAACGAGTGCTTCTGATTTTCCCTATATCTAAAATAACTAAATCAAATGCAACAACTTTCCAAAAAGCATTTTGGGAACATATTAGAAGCTGTTTGGTGTAAGTGTCTGTGTGTAATCTGAGAGAATAAAATAATTATTGTTTGAAAAGCAGACAAATCATCATCATGGACAAAAACTTAATGTAGAAATTGTATTCTGGCAAGCTCTCATAACAATTTTAAATGATATCTACTCCTTTCTGCTGCAATGCCATCCCACCCCCACCTGTCTCCACACAGATTCTGGTCCCAACATGCCTGCAGCAGTGTTTTTTGGATGAAAAACACCACAGAACCCGCATAAAAACTAACACATGAACCTTAAGTTGCATTAAAATATGTATATTTATCATTCTAACCACATATCTGGTATAAAAAACGTAGAAAGTATCAGTATGATAGATGTATACACAGTTATCCTCTCAGTATCAGAAACTCACCACTAAGAACTCCCTCTTGTCCACCATCTGGTTGCCATCTGCATCAAACATATTGAAAGCAATCTTAAAGCCAGCATGAGGTTCTGGGGGAACAGATAGCAGAACACATAAGGTGTGAGTGAGCGCATGTGTTTATTGGAGGTCATTTTCAAAGCCATAAATAGCCAGGAAAGAAGTGTCACACAGCCAACACACAACAAAAAATGTGGTTTCATTTCAGTATTTAAAGGTTTTTGGAAAAATATCCAGAAGAATAGATAGAAAACATCATGTAAAAACTGAGCCACTTATAAATGTTGACAGTACAATGCCATAAGTGACAGCTACTCTTTTAAGACCATTCCTATGCCTTGAATGCTTATATATACAGTATATATAAATAAATATTTTTTTATTTTTCAGCTACTACCTTTCTCGGGATTGCCACAGTGAGCAAATTTGCATGAAGACTTGGCAATTGTTTTATTCCGGATGCCCTTCCTGACATGACCACTGAGCTACTGCAGCCCACATGTAGAGAAGAGGGCTGCCATCTAGGGTGCACAAGGGAGAAGATGAGGTGGGTGGGGGTGGGGTTTATAGGCCTTGTTACAGGGCTCAGAGTGGTGCAAATGAGTATGGAGGCAGATGTGGGTGCTTCACCTTTCCCACTCAAATCATTATGACCTCCTGATCACAGGCTCGCCTTCTCTAGTCACTGCATCACCACTCCCCTGTGTTGAAGACATTTACATAGAGTGAAGTTTAAATGTTTCCCTACCGATCAAAATGCTGATACGATACAAAATGTTGCTGCCAGAGTCTTAATTGGAGTTAGAAGGAGAGATTATATCGCTCCAGTTTTAGCTTCCCTCCACTGGCTCCCTGTCAAGTCCAGAATTGAATTCAAAATCTTACTTCTAACCTACAAAGCTCTCAACAACCTAGCTCCATCTTATATTCGAGATCTTATTGTTTCATATTTTCCTAACAGAGCACTTCGCTCTCAGATGGCAGACTATCTTGTGGTCCCTAGAGCTTCCAAAAGCAGAATGGGTGGAAGATCGTTCAGTTATCAGGCTCCTTTCTTGTGGAACCAACTTCCAGTTTCTGTCCATGAGGCTGACACATTGTCCAGTTTTAAGACTGGGCTTAAGACTTTCCTTTTTGATAAATCCTATAGTTAGGGTTGGCTTGTTATGCTGCCTTAAGCTTAGACTACTAGAGGACAAATTGACCTCATTTCCTTAAATGAATTGTTAAAATTGAATAGTTTATTTGATACTATTTCTATCTTAACATGTGATTCTTGACCTGCCATTGTGTATCTGTTCTTCTCAAACCCAGCCGGTCGAAGCAGATGGTCACTTGTCCTGAGCCTGGTTCTGCTAAAGGTTTCTTCCTCATGAGGGAGTTTTTTCTTTCCACTGTCGCCTTCATGTTTGCTCAAGATGAGAGTTCTGTGATGGAGTTAAATTCAAAGCAGTCTGCTCCTCAGATAAATAATGTTAACCTATTATTTGTATATATGAATGTTTCTGTTCAGTGGACTGAGATGATTTCTGTTGTGACTTGGCGCTACATAAATAAACTGAATTGAATTGAATTGAAACTGATGGTTTTCAGCATTCAAACACATCACAACCTGTGTTTTGTTTTGTTTTTTAATTTAGAGTCATTTCTGTTATGTTTGTTTTCTGTCCTTCGCTCGTGTTCAGATACTTCCTCGGGTGCAAGTTAAAGAGAACACGAAGTTAGGTGAAAGACAAAATTAGCCCGAGTTGACTCACTTGTCAGGATGCAGAGCAGGAACAGGTACTCCGTGTAGGAGATGATGCCTAATGATGAGACCAAGTCAGGGAGTTAAAAAGGTCACATTAAAGGCACTCCTGCACAGTGTTTACACATGTTCAAAGCCCATGGGCCTCCCATGCCTCACACACAGCCATACACACTAACACAGATAATCCTCCCTCTTATGAAGATAGCATCTTAAAATGTGTCTTCTCCAGGTTGAGCTGCCAACAACCAGTTGACCCCACACAGTCTCTTTTTCCTTGGGTGTCCAGAGTAAAGACATGCTAGTTTTGTGTGTGTGTGTATGTGTGTGTCTGTGTTTGGATAAGCAAGTGAAAAATGTTTTAGGGGTGATCCTTTCCTTCCTCTGGCACATTTAGAATTGTTGCAGCTCCCAGCTCAGCTCTCTGGTCTTTTTTTTTTGCTTGCTGTCTGATCGTTCAGATAGTTCAGGGTGACTCACTCGAGTGTCACGGGAGACTGCTCTCCCTTTAGTGCGTATGTGTGCATGAGTGTATGAGAAGGGGAACACGACACCAGTTAAATCTAGTGTGAGCCTTGTGTTTTGCTGATTCTTGGCTGTTTTGTGTAGAGGAACTGGTTTGGAACTGAATTCTCTTTCCCCAGTGTAGCCTGAGCTCTGCAAAGACCAGAATACACTCTGAAGCTGCTCAGGTTTCTATATACAACCGGTGTGTTTACGCTCCCATGCTTTCAGAGTTACACTAATGAATGCAAAGGTTGGTGAATTTCATGGAAGCAGCCACTCGAACGTTATATTTTCAATAATCACCTAAACATTGTTTTGGTCGCACAGCTGATACGACAGCTCAAAGCATGAATTTGTCTTTATTTTGAGCAGTAAATGTCAGTCATGTAAGTGTTTAAGTGGTAATATAAGACACACAAACACATACACAAACAATGTGCTGGGTTCAGGTGTGCATTCCTTCATCTGAAAACTAAAGCCATGCTTGAGATTTTACTCTGCTTGTCCTTGATCACACAGACACACACAAACACTGCTTACACAAAGGATGTCCTTGAAGGAAAGCTGGATAATAGTAAAAAGAATAAACACATTTTTGAAGATAAACCTGCATAAATAAAATTTGTTTGAATTCGGTCTGGCTTTGACTGTATTTACACTCCATCTGGTTTTTAATAGCTTTACATCCTCCAGTCAGTTTGTTTATCTCTCATGAAATCCTTAATCCACTATTTATTTTCTTTCTATTTCACAATTCTACAAGGAAAGAGAGTCCACCTGGACACTGTGCCTATAAATAAAATCAAACCCACACATTGGTTATAAGTTTAACATAGTCCTTTTGTATAATTATATGAAAGGAGGTGAATCACACATAGTATGCTATATTTAGCATCCCTCGGTGTGTATGCGTGTATTTCTGTGTAATTATCACTACAGGGACTCAATTCCTGACTGTGTGATTTCTCTTACACTCCAAAAGCAAATGCTTAAATAGGGTAAGCTCGTTTATTTATTTTTTTTTCTGAGAAGAGGGGAGGGTAGTGAAGGGGGTTGATTTTGTTTGCAGCAGGTTGGCTGCAAGGAGGGACAGCACGACACCAACCTGGATTAGAGACACCTACAGGGACACACGTGCACTATATAATCCCAAATTGAAAGCAAGGCCATCTAGATGAGCACAAGCAGCCTGGAAAAGCTGTAAAAATCCTAAACCTTTCTCAGACATTTTGTCTTCATAGTCACAGTGAAATTAAACTTTAGATAAGCAGCAATAAAAGTACATATGTATCAAATATAACTATAAAACTGAACGTGCCAAATCCTTGTCAGTGCACGTTTGTTAATCTTGATTATGACTGTATGTTTTATTTATTTACTTACTATGTCACGCCACAAAAAAATTTGTTAGATTTTTTTTTTCTGCACCCAGCACTTGTGCACATGTAAATTATTGTGCTACCACAACATCAAGTCAGCTGCAAAATCATGTATTGTATTGTGACATAGTTTTTTCCAAAACCACACCATGACCTTTTCCTACTGTAACCAAAAATGGACAAACTACACCTGAAAGAAAATAAATACTTGAAAAGTTTAAAGTAAAACTTGAGTTTCCTCTTCTAGTCTTTCTCCCTTACCCTCCTCCTCTTCAGTTATTTAATAGGATCTAATTAGTTTATAGTTAAAACATTTCATAATGATGTTTGTTTAATTTACTACTGGAATGAAACTGACATATACAAAGTACACTGAACAAAAATATAATCACAAAACTTTTATTTTGCTCCCATTTTTCCTGAGTTGAACTCAAAGATCTAAGATTTTTTTTCAATGTACACAACAGACATTTTTCTCTCAAATATTGTTCACAAATGTGTGTAAATCTGTGTTAGTGAGCACTTCTTCTTTGCCACGATGATCCATCCACCTCACATGTGTGGCATATCAAGATGCTGATTAGACATGATTATTGCACGGGTGAGCCTTAGGATGACCACAATAAAAGGCCACTGTAAAATGTGGAGGGGGGGGGGGGGTCAGAAAACCAATCAGTATCTGGTGTGACCACACAGTGCAACACATCTTCACATAGAGTTGGAGTTGATCAGGGTGTGATTGTGGTTTGTGGAATGTTGGTCCACTCCTCTTCAATGATTGCGTGAAGTTGCTGCATGTTGTCAGGAACTGGAATGCACTTCAAGGTCAAGGTCAAGGTGTCTTTATTGTCATTCACATCACATGTGGTACATGTAGTGGAGCAAAACTATGTACACAGGGTCCCAGTTACATCCAACAAATATAAAAATTGTAAAGAAAAACAGTAGTAAGATCTAAGATGTGAACTAAAAAATACACTAAACTATGAATATACTAAGCACAAATAGTACAAAACAATGCACCAAACAACAGCAGCACGAACATGAGTCTGTGTGAGCAGATGAGGACGAATGAACGAATACGCCGATCCAGAACATCCCAAACATGCTGAATGGGTGACATGTCCAGTGAGTATGCTGGCCATGCAAGAACTGGGATGTTTTCAGCTTCCAGGATATTGTGTACAGATCCTTGCAACATGGGGCCGTGCATTATCATGCTGCAACATGAGGTGATGGTCATGGATGAACGGAACAACAATGGGCCTCTGGATCTTGTCACGGTATCTCTGTGCTTTTAAAATGCCATCAATAAAATGCACCAGCATTTGTGGTCCATAGCATACGTCTGCCCATACCATAACTCCACTGCCACCGTGGGCCACTCAATTCACAACGCTGACATCAGCAAACTGCTCATCCACACGATGCCACACATGCAGTCTGCCATCTGCCCTGTACAGCGAAAACTGGCATTCATCTGTGAAAAGAACACCTCTCCAACGTGCCATACTCCATCAAAAATGAGCATTTGCCCACTCAAGTCAGTTACAACGACAAACTGCAGTCAAGTGGAGACCCCACTGAGGATGACAAGCATGCAGATGAGCTTCCCAAGATGGTCTCTGACAGTTTGTGCAGAAATTCTTTGGTTATGCAAACCAATAGTTGCAGCTGTCTGGGTGGCTTGCCTCAGACAATCTTGGGAGGTGAGGAAGCTGCATGTGGAAGTCCTGGGCTGATGTGGTTCCATGTGGTCTGTGGTTGTGAGGCTGATTGGATGTACTGCCAACAAATGCCTTTAGAGATGGCTTATGGTAGAGAAATGAACATTCAATTCAAGGGCAACAGATCTGGTGGACATTCCTGCAGTCAGCATGTCAATTTTATGCTCCATCAAAACTTGCATTGTGCTGTGATAAAACTACACATTTTACAGTGGTCTTTTATTGCGGTCAGCCTAAGATACACCCGTGCAATAATCATGCTGTCTAATGAGCATCTTGATATGCCACACCTGGGAGGGGATGGGTTATCTCTGCAAAGAAGTGCTCACTAACACAGATTTACACAAATTTGTGAACAATATTTGAGCGAAAAAGGCCTGTTGCGTCCACAGGAAAAGTCTTCCATCTTTGAGTTCAGCTGATGAAAAATGAGAGCAAAACAAAAGTTTTGCGTTTATATTTTTGTTCCATGTATGTGAAATGTTACATATAGCCAAAGACTCTTTAATATGATCATTTAGAGCTAAAGTGATATACAGGTCCTTCTCAAAAAATTAGCATATTGTGATAAAGGTCATTATTTTCCATAATGTAATGATAAAAATTAAACTTTCATATATTTCAGATTTATTGCACACCAACTGAAATATTTCAGGTCATTAATTGTTTTAATACTGATGATTATGGCATACAGCTCATGAAAACCCAAAATGCCTGTCCCAAAAAATTAGCATATCATGAAAAGGTTCTCTAAACAAGCTATTAACCTAACCATCTGAATCAACGACGTAACTCTAAACACCTGCAAAAGATTCCTGAGGCTTTTAAAAACTCCCAGCCTTGTTCATTACTCAAAACCGCAATCATGGGTAAGACTGCCGACCTGACTGCTGTCCAGAAGGCCATCATTGACACCCTCAAGCAAGAGGGTAAGACACAGAAAGAAATTGTTGAACGAATAGGCTGTTCCCAGAGTGCTGTGTCAAGGCACCTCAGTGGGAAGTGTGTGGGAAGGGAAAAGGGTGGCAGGAAACGCTGCACAACGAGAAGAGGTGACCGGACCCTGAGGAGGATTGTGGAGAAGGGCCGATTCCAGACCTTGGGGGACCTGCGGAAACAGTGGACTGAGTCTGGAGTAGAAACATCCAGAGCCACCGTGCACAGGTGTGTGCAGGAAATGGGCTACAGGTGCTGCATTCCCCAAGTCAAGCCACTCTTGAACAAGAGACTGCGTCAGAAGCATCTCGCCTGGGACTGCTGCTGAGTGGTCCAAAGTTATGTTCTCTGATTACAGTAAATTTTGCATTTCCTTTGGAAATCAAGGTCCCAGAGTCTGGAGGAAGAGAGGAGACACAGAATTCACATTGCTTGAGGTCCAGTGTCAAGTTTCCACAGTCACTGGGGTGTCATGTCATCTGCTGGTGTTGGTCCACTGTGTTTTATCAAGGGCAGGGTCAATGCAGCTAGCTATCAGGAGATTTTGGAGCACTTCATGCTTCCATCTGCTGAAAAGCTTTATGGAGATGAAGATTTCATTTTTCAGCACGACCTGGCACCTGCTCACAGTGCCAAAACCACTGGTAAATGGTTTACTCACCATGGTATTACTGTGCTCAGTTGGCCTGCCAACTCTCCTGACCTGAACCCCATAGAGAACCTGTGGGATATTGTGAAGAGAAAGTTGAGAGATGCAAGACCCGACACTCTGGGTGAGCTTAAGGCCGCTATCGAAGCATCCTGGGCCTCCATAACACCTCAGCAGTGCCACAGGCTGATTGCCTCCATGCCACGCCGCATTGAAGCAGTCATTCATGCAAAAGGATTCCCGACCAAGTATTGAGTGCATAACTGAACATGATTATTTGAAGGTTGGCGTTTTTTGTATTAAAAACACTTGTCTTTCATTGGTGGGATGAAATATGCTAATTTTTTGGGACAGGCATTTTGGGTTTTCATGAGCTGTATGCCATAATCATCAGTATTAAAACAATTAAAGACCTGAAATATTTCAGTTGGTGTGCAATGAATCTGAAATATATGAAAGTTTCATTTTTATCATTACATTATGGAAAATAATGATCTTTATCACAATATGCTATTTTTTTGAGAAGGACCTGTATATCTCCTGCTGACTGTAGAGACAGAGAACAGAGCTCCTATGGCTTGTATCTAATTATATAAACAAACAAGTCTGGATAGTGATTAAAACTGGAGAACTTATCATTGCTCTGATAACATACTGAAAAAAATGCCTTTAAGAAATCAAAAAAAATCTTCAGAAGATTCATCTGTGTTGCATTTAACTACCGGTACTCAGTCTTGTGAGGTATAATAGTTTTGTGTGGAAGAACTGTTCAGTTCGGTAGGAGTTAAAACCTGCACATTCAGTTCAAAAGAATAATGTTAAATTTAAAGCCTAGAGAATGTATGTTGTTCTTCAGCTGCAAAAGCCCACAATCACAGAGAAACAAAGAAATGTGTTCAATTGTTGAGTGCACGTGTACTGACCTCGGTCTCTCAAGTTGCGAAAAAGTTTGGAGGATCCTCTCCATACTGGGGGGGTATCTGATAGTATCTTCTCTAACTCCTGGTGTATCCGCAAAAACATACAAATAAAACTATGGTGAAATGTGAAGAAAAAAAAAACACAGCTCAATTTGTTTTAATTAAATAGACAGAGATGAACAAGAAAGAGTAGCATTCTACTGAAAATAGAAAAACCCTTACTACAGCTCACTTTAGTTGTCAGGTTATATATTCTGGTATTTAATGCATTGCTACAAAGAATACTGAATTCTGTCCATTCAAGAGAGAAAAATCTGTAAAAACTATTTCAGATTCAGGCACGTTTACAAAATAAATGTGGTCCTTTAGGTTTAGTGTATGAAGTTATTTCCAAATGTCTGCATTTGAAGAGCTTGTGGTGCTAGTTTTTAAGATTTAGAATTTTCTGGTATGTTAAATGTTAATGGAAAAACTGGTGGTAAGTACCTAAATGCAAGAAAGAAAAAGTCTGCGTTAAAAAAGCATGTGAGGTTTGATAGAAACATGAATGAAAAACATGCAAGTTGGCAAAATTTTAAAATATGAATACAAAAAATGACAAGAAAACTTTGTTAGATATGACTAATGGAATCCAATTGACTGAAACAAAAAGATATAAATCATATGTTTCCTATTCAAATGATGGTAAAATATATTAAAAATTCATTACAAGAAAGAGCGATGTAAATACTTTAAGTGACTCTACAGTCAGCTGCATACCGAATGCGGCAAATGCAGCAATGCCAAACCTCTTTTACAACTGATTTTATTAAATAAATGCATGTCAACACCATATTAACAGCATCTGTGAAGCACAACTTTCTTGTTCTGTCAAACAAAACTAAGGAGAATATAACAGATCAAACCTCACTTATTTTGCAACTTGTTCATCTGAGAATTGCTCTAATAATAATAATAATTTAAGATCAATGCAGAAGAAAAGTCTAAACTCTGCAGTGAACAACAAGCAGATGCATCATGCAGCAGATGTCTGACTGCAACACGGAGGAGCAGGAGAAAGAAGGATTTAAAGTGAGTCTCCCACCTGTTTGGTCAGGGACCTCCAGGGCCTCTTGTCTGCCAGGGAACCAGACAAAGGAGAAATGAAGAGAAAGAGGAGAAGAGAGTTTGGGTGGGCTTGGTCAGATAACATCTGTATGATCTAGAAATAGGTCTTAATGTGCCGGGTACAGTCACAACACACACACACACTCGCTGTGTATACACTCATCATCGCAGGCCCATTTGTATCGTCTAAGTGCTCCACGCATGCCTTTGTAGTACGCAGAATGTTCTCGTAAAAGCACATAGTACTTTTGTTCTGTTTTATACAACAAAGTTCATCTAATTCAACTTCAAAGGGGGCGTTGGAGGATGTCGGCTGCCGAGAGGGTATGAGCGGCTGTATCATATGACAGCAAGCCAAGAGTAGATGTAAACACACATACAGGTGCACGCTGCTCAATCATATGCTCACTAAAAACTAGCTTTTTTTTCTTGTTTCTGAAGGAGATGGACATTTCAGAATTGTGGTTAAAGTTTACGGTCCAGCTTAGATATTTACCGGGTAAGAGAGAGGATACATGAGAGGAATGTGTGTCTGACTAACATTAACCTCAGACTAAACAATGGCTGTAAAGCCATCTGCTTTGAGGCTTGCTGGCCGGGCCTAATCTGTTCCGACTGGCAAGAAGGCTGACAGAAACTGCAAAGATGTGCTTAAACACGGGATTTTTGAGTTCTTTAAGACATACCAAAAAATATACATATATTCTGAATAGAGACGCTAATATTTGTACAGCATAACAAAATCAAATCAGAACACGTCAAACTAATCTAAGAATCTAAACAATAAACTAAATAGAATAGAATATAGTTCAAACTCGTAATTAAACTCGATTTGGTTTTTATGATTAACCTCCGAACAATAATCAGGGGAGCTGAGACTTTTAAGATGTTGAAAGAGTGAAATGAAGACTGCGGTGTCAGTTTAAGGATGAGGGGAAAACCATTAATAAACCAATTCAAATACAGTAGTCCCTCGTTTATCGCGGGGGATCCGTACCCTGAAGCGCCGCGATAAGTGAAAAACCACAAAGTAGGAATACAAGTAGGCCAAGTTCAAGTTCAGTTCTAGTTCAGTAAACTTTGTCGTGACATGTGTCAGGCTGTAATCACACTCATCACCTGTTACTCCCAATCTCCCTCCTTAATAAACAATTTAAATTTAAATACTGTAACATTTTAAATAAACAGTCCACGCAGCATGAATTGTTTATTTAAAATGTTACAGTATTTAAATTTAAATTGTAGAGAAGAGAAGTGCAGCAGGACATCAGAGGGATGTCACACAGCTTCAGCTCTGCAGCACGCAGCAGAAATGTACTTCTTGATCGATTACACTTCAACAACTGAACATAGAAGTTCTAAAATAATTAAAAATAACTTTTAACACTTTTAGATTTCGTGATTATGATGATTTTTACGATGTGACATACTTTGAATTTTAAGCTGGAAGACAAAAGTCGATCGGTGCATCTGGAAAACAAAGGGTTAACCCTTCACAAATATGCAGCAAGAGAAATGTGTGTGTGGCAGAGAAGGGACTCAGCTGATCAGCGGCAGGAGGGAGCTTTCCCTTCCACTTGTGGGCTTCACACATGGTGCAAAATCATTTAAAATTTAATTTAAATAAACAACCCATGGCTCATCCATCTGTCAGCCAATTGTGACATGTCCAATCTTACTTTGAAAATCCGCGATATAACAAACAAACCGCGAAGTAGCGAGGGACTACTGTGTGTATAATGACATATATTTATATACATATATTTATAAAGGCGTTTTAAACCCTTCCCACACTCTTGCAATATTCTAAACAATGTTTCTAAACTCTAAGCGCTCTCAAAGAGCACAGAATGTCGTTGGTTACGTACTGTAACCCCAGATTCTATGAATATAGGCGTAGCCCTTTAAGGCTGTCGCTGATGGTTTATCATGATTTCAGCTCTCTGCCTCGGCTGCTCTTTGCCACCTGCAAGCGCTCTTGGCCACGCCCACTTCTCCTCTGCACGGAGAACAGCCTATCAGCTACAAGAGAAGCTTATCCTGCTGCACACAGGTGCATCAGTTGTTAATCATTTAAAATTATTTATTTTAAATAAAAATTTCACGCCGATCGTGCGACTCATCCATCAATCAGCCAAATTGAGTTTCATATCTAATTTCATTTTGAAAAACCGCGATAGAGTGAGTCCGTGAAACCGTGAAGTAGCGAGGGACTTCTGTGTCAGAAGAACATAAATCATGCAACTGTGCTTTCAAACATGCAGCCAGAAACTAAACCTTCCACAGGTAACAGTCAGGTTAACATTTTTTAACATACTTACATCTGCACTGTTGCTTAAATTTAATTTTGACAACAAAATGTTATATGAAACTGATGTTTTAGAATTGAATTTATAATCAATCGCAACAAATTTGCAAATACTGAACACACATGACAGTTTTGTTTGGAACTACGGGGTGTCCTAACACAAGGTTATTTTTTCTTTCAAATCGAGTACAAGTACAAGCACTTCAGTTTGGGTACTTCCAAACCTGAGTACCGATACTGACTAGTTAATAAGCTAGTACTTAAAAATTAAACAATGATTTTGGAAACACATTGATTTGATTAAAAACACAACAAACAGTCTGCTTTCTTAACATCACCTGTGTTTATTCTGTCTAAACTATGGACATTCTTTTAAACTTGTTGTCCTCCATTACTTGCAAAGTAGAACAGGAAACGATGTCAACGAGCATAAACGTGGTATTGGTCTGAAGTATCAGGGTGTTTTATGAGTAATTAAGGCTAGTATCAGGTCCAACAGTACATAGCATGAAGATGCTACAAGTATAATATGTAATATTTGTGCTGCAGCAATGGGTAGATCAACATTTACAAAATAAAGTATTATTATTAAAGGAAAACTGAGAGCTACCATGTTATAACAAGAAATCAGATTGCTGAGGCATGGCTAAGAGGTGTTTTTTTTTTTTTTGTTTGCTTCTTTGGGACCACTGGGAGCCCAGTTCTGGTTTTACCTGCCAAAAGTGTGTTTAAAGTTTTTTAACATAGTATTTTATTGTGTGTTTTACTTTTAAATGATGTGGCCCTCTCGCAATATTGAACAATTTACTTAGTATGTCACTTAAACTTGGCTGACAGAAAGAATTTTGCTTGATCTTGAAACAAATATGCGACATACCAAACATACTTACATACAAGGTGTAACGTTTGTGAAGGAGAGTTCAGCTTGTGTGGAAACATTTCGATTGAAGGGCCTGCTGATACATTTTGAACAAAGCTGTCAACGCTAACTTTGGTACATACTTCTTGGTTCGCTCATGGTCACTGACTCGATGAAGTTCTGCGGCGTCATGTAGAGCTGTCCTTCATACTCCACCGAGCTGAACATTCGGAAACGATGTTCGTGGGAAGACATGTACACATCACCATCCTCAAAGTCGAACGGACGTGCCTGCAGACAGGAACTCAAAGCATAAAACTCCAGACTGTAACTTTATACACTACCTAACTGACTTGATTATCAGACAATATATCAAGATGAAAGTGCAAGAGAAAATTGTTTTTTTTACTTGAAGGTTATGGAAATTTATTTAACTACTGATCTTGAGGATATCGCACATATTTCTAGATAACGTTTCCTTCTTTAAGGGGAAAAAAAACCCCAACTTGGGCTATTTTTCTAAAGAAGCAAGCGACCTGCACACATAATCAACTCTTTATCTTATGAAACTGTTTTTAAAATGCTTCATCACATCGAAGCAAATTTAAGTTGACAAGTTACATCTGTAGTACTAGTTTAAAGGCACGTACTCTGCAGCATTCTTTTAATATTTTTTAAAGTCACTTGCTTTTATTTATTTAAAGCAAAGAAACTAGCATACCTGAAGCATCAAAAGTGTGCCTGTCAGATTATCTGACCGATTCCTTCAATTATTTTTTGTGTTTTGTGAAAAATAAGTGTGTGTGAAGCATGGCAATGTGTAAGACGCTGTTTTTTTTTGTTTTTTTACAATTGAAGCAGAATTTTAAAAGAAAGCCTTAGATAATTCAGTTTTCACAGTCATACTTTGAGTGTAGCTTCCACAGCTGTGTAAAGCCAGAGCTCTGCAGGATCCAAGCTGCACGTGTGTCTCCACCGTTGTTATACTTCTATAATGAGCAAATCCATCTATTCTTGGTACCAACTCTCAGTTTAGATAAATAGCATCCCTGGTGCAGAGAAACGAGAACGTATATGAACACATAGAGATACAAACCATTTCCTATCCGATTAGAATCTCTTACGCTCATTCAAAAAGGAACCAAGGCTTCAACTTGATTAGCTGCAGTGTAGGCGAGCTCCGAGCCAACAGATCGTACTGCACGAAGCTGTGTAATTTGCAAAGAGGTTTCCAAATTTAAACCTGCTTGGCTGTGGGCCACAGCACACACAGTTCTTGTGCAGCTCAGCAAACATGCTAATGAGCAGGCAAGTTCATTCACAAAGCTTTGATGCTGCTTTTACCAGGGGAGCTCTAGAAGGCATGAACAGATGAACGTTTGGATTTTTAGGGAATTTTCTGTAACCGAGTTTGAGAGCATTCGCCGATATGGGTTTGACTTGCACTAATGGTTGAAGTTTGTAAAGTTTTGCAAAGGCAGAAAGGCTCAAATCCCAATCTGTACAACATGATGGATAAAGCATGTAAGCTCCGTTAGCAAAGGGAATAATTTATTGTTTGTATTGACTAGAATTCATGTGGTAACATCATACGCTGCTCTACTGTGTTGTTGTCATGGATCCACAATGAAAATGTTTTTGCTGCCTCACCTGGTTCTCCTGACTGCACAGCAGATGCTCCAGGTATTGTTTTCCTCTGGCATCATGGTCATTTCCCCTTCAAAGATGCAACTTTTCAATTCTTATGAACCCCGTTTTTTCTGTTTGACTGCCTTGCTTCAATTAACTCTCCACTCAACTTCCATCCATCCATCCTTCCCCTCTCTCTTTCTTTCTGCTGGTGCCCATATCTACCCGTCTCTGTGCGAGAGGCGGAATACACTCTGGACAGGTCACAAGTCCATTACAGGACCACTCCTCTCAACTTCAAATATTTAATTAAAATAAAACATCCAGCAAGCTAACATCTTGGCAAACAGATCTCATATCAGAGACAAATATGACAAATATGAAAAATACGACAAAAACGACAATTACAATATCAGTTCTTGCTTATGTGATTGTTGAGGAACATTCTATCACAAAGTGAGTAAGGTGTTTTTCTGTCATTATGCAACATATCTGTTCATTTTGTTGGCTAATTTATTGAAAATGCAGAGATGAAATGTCCATAGGTGCTAACAAAATTATTCCAGTAATGTTAAGAACATTTTAAGTAACACAAGTACAAGAAAATTAAATGCTTATGTTGTTTTTCTAGATGTCTTTATTTATTGTTGCTAAGTATGTTACAAAAGTGTTTGATTTGTTGTGCGCTTACGTTGTACAAGTGTCATGAAATGGAAAAATGCAGATTTATCTACATAAAATTTTAGTGAGAACAGAAAGTTTTAATTAGAACAGAATAATAACAAGAAGAGGATGTACAATTATTGAACTGAGTATGTCTAAAACATCTGTCTATGCAAGAGTGCAAAAGTTTAACTTTTCCAGCTGTTATGACAAAGTTTAATCTTTGAAGTGCTGTGCTGTTATTAGAATAAAGCTGGAATAGCTTTACTGATTTCTTTGGTTTGTTTTTTGTATATTTTTTGGCAATCTCATTACTTCTGCATACTTTGTTCTGTTTTTGCCACTCTTACATCAAAATCACTCATTTTGAGAGATGGATGCTGCAATTTTATTATTATTTTGTTATTACATTTACAATTTTTTTAAATATTCAACTTTATTTACAAATACTTTCTGCATAGAAAGAAAATTGAGATCACATAGTCTTTCAAAACAATGAAGTCTTTTAAATCTGCTTCAGCATACTTCCCTTTATTTTTGTTTTTCTATGCTACTTTTAATTGTTTCACCAGTGTTAGCTTGGAGCTATTTGCTCATTTTAGCTATGGTTGAGCTACCTTGAGCTTTTAAATGTCCCTTTGCTACTTAATTTTTTGCTAATTTTTGCTTTTAGTAAGCTTTTAAATGTGTTTGGCAATTAGTATACTTTTGCTACGTTCAGCTTTTCTTACATTTAGCTTTTAATCTGTCTTTTGCTACTTATATTTTAGCTAGCCTTTACTACTTTCACCTTTTTAAGTAGCCCTGTGCTACTTTTTGCTACTAGCTATACCTTTGCTACTTTTAGCTAACATTTTACCACACTTTTATGCAGCCTTTTTTATATTTTTAGTTTTTAGCTTGCCTTTGCTAATTTTACGTTTTAGTAGCCCTGTGCTACTTTTAGCTATTAAATAGATATTATAGCTTTTAGCTAGCATTTTGTCCTATTTATCTTTTAGCTAGCATGCTCCTTTTAGCTAATGCTGTGCCATTATTAGATTTCGTTCCCCTCTCTTAAATTTTAACAACTCAGTTTAACTTACTCAGCAATTTTGAACAGTTCGCACTGCCTTTTAGCAAAAAATGTAATTTGTTTTTGCTAAAGTGTGTGCAGCCGGAGCTGTTCTACAATCTGCCTGAGTGAAAAGAAGCTTGTTGTCATTTCAGCACCAGCGCGAGCGGAGAGCGCCCGCCCCTCCGCTGCGCGCGCGCACACACATTCTGCTGCCAGACAGCGAGCAAACTGTTTCCACAGGGCGTGCTTGGAAATAAAAAATATTCAAAACTTCCAGCCACGCCATGGCTGTGGAACAGGAGTAGATGACTCAAGCTAGGTGTACGAAAGAGAACGTGACAAATACTCGCTCCTTCTCTCACAGAAGTCTTTGTTGTTGATGTTTTCCTCGGGGCCTCTGTGTCAACAATAATGCACTCTTGGGCAACGAACTACCGCCTCGCTGCGTGTCACAAACATTGACACCCCCACCCCCCAGCTTTAGCCTCTCACCTTCTCCTTGGCTTCGACGGTCGGGATGGACGAGAGCAAGTCGTTGATGCTGATGTGTCTCCTCATCATCACCCCCTTCCTGCCTGTCGTTATGTTGTTATAAAAGTAAAAAGCGACGGCGCCTCCCGCAGCAGCGCACATCCCGACAGCAAGACGGGTCCGACTCCTTCTTCCATGAACCGCTCCGACGAGTTCGCCTCTTGCCGCGGACCACAGGTTCAGCTTGCCTGCCAGTGCTGCCACTCTGCGGAAAGCGGCCATTGCTGCCGTTGGTGTCGCTGCGGCAGCGATCATAAGTTTAAGAGCAGCTCCGAACTCTCGCGTTAAGACGATTGCATCGCGAGATTTCAAGTTTCGGTCAGAGTGGGAGCGAACACGAAGTCCCATATGGGCTATGCCCACAGACACTAAATTGCTGTTTTGAAACTGGATTTCACTAAATTGAAACAATTTCAAAGCATTAAATTCAGTTTCAAAACAGCAATTCAAATTCAGGTTCTGATGGCACAAGTTTCAGCCCATAGTCCCACATCTGGTGATTACTCTAAGCAATAGTGTGGTCAGAATCCTGACTTCAAGTGTGTGGAGTGGACCAACCTATTTAACACAGTCTTTAAAAATAAATGGAAACTGAGCTGTTTTCTGGTGCGTTTTCTACAACATTCGTTCCCAAATCTTCAGTATATCTAAACCATAAAACATCTGTGGCAGAAACATTTGACTGTCAATAAAATGTGCACAAGATTTATTTGAAAATAAATAATTTCATTTTTCAAATATCATGAAGAAAAAATGATTTCTTATTTTTAATTTTATTTATTTAGTTTATTTATTGTCGTTATTTGTTGACTTCTCTCATCTTTACCACGGGATAATAAG